CCCTGGGTGCAAACCCCGTGAGAGTGCGGACACCCCCCCGTGCACACCCCTGTGAGCTCGCACGAGCCTCGTGCACCCTCCTGAGGGCTTGCATGACCCCCTCGTGCACACTCAGTGCACTCCTACATGCTCATGAGTGTGCAAAGCCCCCATGCACACCCCTGTGAGCTTGCACGACCCTTTGTGCACTCTTAGTGTGCACCTACATGCTCATGAGCGTGCAAAGCCCCTGTGCACAGCCCTGTGAGCTTGCACGACCTTCCATGCACACTTAGTGCGCACCTACACAGTCATGAGCACGCAACCGGCCTAAGCCACGGCCAGATGTAAAATACAGAAGTGACGATGATGTCCGAGCAGCATGCACAGACATCTATCATGCTTGAGTGTAAGTCAGCAAATTAAAGCTGGGCCATTCACCAGACGCGAGTTGATACCTGGACACGGGTTCACAGAGCCTTCACAAAACCGTCGCGTTGTCCCCATACCAATGCATGCCCATGGGCACCAGGCAGCATGCGGCCGGGGGACTTTGTGCAGCATCTCCATCTCCTCTGCCCGCAGGTGGTTTCAGGTAGCGCCTCTCTGTAGCAAGGTACAAACTGCTACAAGAACAGACATTACCTGGCAGCACATGGAACTGCCAGATAAGAAGTGATAACAGACAGCAACTAAAGCCCAGAGACCGGCACAGAGTTAATCCCAGATCGCTGCTGCAGCTGATAGGGAATCACCTCTGTTCTTTTATGAATATCATATGTCCATCTGTTTGCTGGATTGCCATTGTGTTGCCTGCTCTGTGATCACCAGGGTTTACTCCCACCGGGAGCCAACAGCACACAGGTCAGGGGGTTGATGACAGCCCCATCTGGCCCCATTCACCAATACCTAATGGACAACCAGGTGTCCTTCACCCTGGAGGTTCGGGGGGGGATGACGAGGGGGGGACCCCACCTTGCATGGCCGTCACCATCTGCGTGGCACGGGGACGGGGCGCCAGTGGTGCAGGGGACACCGATGGCACGGGGATGGGACACCAATGGCACAGGGGGACAGCGGCGTGGGACAGGGATGGGACACCGGTGGCACAGGGGGACAGGGGACAGGGATGGCACCCCAATGGCACAGGGGACCCCCCATGTGGCACAGGGGACAGCACTCCGATGGCACAGGGGACCCCCACATGGCACGGGGGACACCAACGGAAAGGGGACGGGACACTGATGGCACCAGGGGACAGTGGGATGGCACGGGGAGAGGACATGGGTGGCACAGGGGGACATGGGCATGGGAAAGGGATGGGACACCGGTGGCACAAGGGGACACAAGGTGGCACAGGGATGGCACCCAGGTGGCACAGGGGACCCCATGGGGCACGGGGGACACCAATGGAGAGGGGACAGGACACCAGTGGCACAGGGGGACATGGGCACGAGGCACGGATGGGACACTGGTGGCACCTGGGGACATTGGCATAGGGATGGCACCCCAATGGCACAGGGGACCACCATGCGGCACAGAGGACAGCACTCCGATGGCACAGGGGACCCCCACATGGCACAGGCGGCAGCGGGGACAGAGGGAAGGGGGACAGGACACTGATGGCACAAGGGGACAGCAGCGTGGCACGGGGACAGGACACGGGGACAGGGGGACACAGGCATGGGACAGGACAGGACCCCCATGGCACAGAGGGACCCCACATGTCACGGACACAGGACTCTGATGGCACAGGGGGACACTGGCATGACATGGGGACAGGACTCCAATAGCGCAGGGGACTCCAACCTGTTGTGGTGACACGACCCCGGTGGCACAGGGGGACCCCAGAATGGCACGAGGACAGGACCCGGTGACACAGGGGAACAGGACCTGGCAGCACAGGGGACCCCACGTGTCATGGGGTCGGGATGCTGACGGCACAGGGGGACACAGGCATGGTATGGGGACAGGACCCGGTGACAGAGGGGACCCCAGATGTCACCAGGACAGGACACCGGTGGCATAAGGGGACACGGGCATGGCAGAGTGGACAGGACCCAGTGACACAGGGGACCTGACATGTCACAGGGGACCAGTGAGACAGGACCTCAGTGACACAGGGGACCCGACATGTCCCTGGGACAGGACCCGGTGGCACAGGGGGACACGGGCATGGCACGGGGACAGGACCCCAGTGTCATGGGGACAGGACCCGGTGTCACCGGCGTCCCCCTGTGCCATGGGGACAGGACCCGGTGGCACGGGGGGACAGGACATGTCACCGGGACAGGGCTCGGTGGCACAGAGGGACACCGACATGACATGGGGGACAGGACCCGGTGGCACAGGGGGACACAGGCACGACATGGGGACAGCAACCGGTGTCCCCACGTGTCACGGTGACCGGACCCGGTGTCACAGGGGGACAGGACCCGGGATCCCCGGGGTCCCCGCGTGTCACGGTGACCGGACCCGGTGTCACAGGGGGACAGGACCCGGGATCCCCGGGGTCCCCGCGTGTCACGGTGACCGGACCCGGTGTCACAGGGGGACAGGACCCGGGATCCCCGGGGTCCCCGCGTGTCACGGTGACCGGACCCGGTGTCACAGGGGGACAGGACCCGGGATCCCCGGGGTCCCCGCGTGTCACGGTGACCGGACCCGGTGTCACAGGGGGACAGGACCCGGGATCCCCGGGGTCCCCGCGTGTCACGGTGACCGGACCCGGTGTCACAGGGGGACAGGACCCGGGATCCCCGGGGTCCCCGCGTGTCACGGTGACCGGACCCGGTGTCACCGGGGG